TATAAATCGTTTTGTAAGTCTCTTAGCTCCAGGATCTCCAAATGTATTTTTTACTTCATCCCAACTTTCGGATGATTTTATCATCAAAGTTTCTCGCGCTTGACCTGTTATTTTACATAATATTAATTCTAATATCAACTGATTTAAAGAACCATTTTTAAACCAGTAGCGGTAACTTCGTATAATCGAATGAACTTTTCAGCTTTTGTGATAAAGTATGAAAGCATTTGTGAATTGCCATTATATTCGTGAATCATTTCCTTAGCCATATTAATTTCATTTCATTTTGTTTGAACTACTTACTTTAATTTTAGCCTTTAATTAAATGATTCTGACGAATGTGACTCGTCAGAAGAAGTATCACTTCTCAAGGGTGATTTCTCTCTTCATAATTTAAAATAAAATGAATTTTGCTACAGAAGCGATTGTCTATACGTAAGAGGAAATAAAAAGAGTCCAACAAGACTAGGAAGAACAGCATCGTCAAATATCTTTCCACACAGCGGTTGTACGTCGAATTTGGATGATGCTTCGGGTTGATATTCGGAGTGAATCTCTGCGACTTCTCGAATACCTACGAATCTCGATGATTCCTAGAACACGGGTTCTTTTTGGATACCAACTGAAGGATTGAAATCACCGTAAACTTTAACTTGCACTACACTTAAGCGACACTTGAGCACGTTATAGTATTCTATTCGCAGCACCCGTTAGGTTTTAATTATCTAGAAGTCAACTTAAAAAAAAAATTAGAAACTTGAAATAATATTTTTATTGAGAGATCGAAGCGAACAAAAGGAGTAGCAAACAATATCTAACTCTAACAACTAAACCATAAAAGATATCTTATCTAACAGCCCTGCAAATTAGCCGCCAACCCCAACGTTATCGAACGAGATCACGCTCCAACTCGATCTCGCGTTCTCATTCGCGACCGAGAAGGGAAAGTGACCTCTGTTGGTATCATTTTCATTTTGGCAATAATGCTAAAATGTACCAAACCTTGCATGTTTGAAATCAATTCTCCGGGAAACGACTTGGACAGTCGTTGATGATGACCGATGACAGCAGCTCTAGACATCATTTACGCCGATTATTCATTTCCGATGGGTCAACTAAAGTGAAACTTCTGATCGACACTGGTGCCGACCTCTGTGCGTTTCCGTGTTCGCAACTTCCGGAATCAAGAGAGAACTACGAACTTCCCTCTGAAAACGGCACCGTAATCGCCACGTATGGTACGAAGCCAATCATCGGCGCCGACATCCTGTCACATTTTGATCTGCTTGTGGATATGAAAAACAAACGTCTGTTAGATTCAACCACTCATCTCACGTCCCAAGGGAACGTGATTAAGTGTGAGTCACCATCCCTAAAGAGTGTTTCTGGTTTGTCACTATTCCACGACCTGCTATAACCAACAAGTTGAGTGCTGCGAAAAAGGAATTCGAGGTCATGGCCAAATTGGGCACCGCTCGTCCCTACAAGAGTCCCTGGGCATCGCTTCACATGGTACCTAGAACAGGTGATGGGTGGAGATCATGTGGCGATTATCGAGCCCTCAACACCAGAACGTGTCCATACAGGTATCCTGTCAAGCGTATCCAGGGCTATTCCCAGTCTTTCATAGGTAAAACCATTTTCTAACTACAGACATGGTATGCGCGTTCGACTACATTCCCATCACTGAAGAAGATATTCTTAAAACAGCCATCACGACACACTTCGGCCTATTTATTCACATGAGTTTTGGCTTATGCAATGCGGCGCAAACCTTTCAACGTTTCATTGACAAGGTTCTGCATGTACGGGAATTTTGTTACGCCTACATAGACGACATTTTAATCGGGTCTGAAACGTTAGAATAACACCTGGATAACCCGCAGACTTTTTTCGAAAGACTTCAACTGTGTGGGGAGGTCATCAATTTATCCAAATATGTATTTGGTCAATCAGAAATCAAGTTCCTTGGCTACCTTGTTTCCAATATCGATACACATCCGCTGCATAAAAAAGTGGATGCAATTCGAACTTTCCCGTTCCCGCAAACCTTCAAGAAGCTGCGTCAATTCCTAGCCATGATTAATTCATTCAGTTACCAGGTCAGTTTTTTTGTGTTTCCATGCGTGCCTCCGTTCATCACAAAAGGGTTCCGAAAAGCTGCATTCCATTTCGTGCACAATCTTTCCTATCCTGGAGTTAACGCGACTGTCAAAACTTGTGACGCAACGTTACATTTGGCTGTCCGCTAGAAAGGAAGTTCGTCAGTGGATCCATTCCAGTGTTTTTTGCAAACGCTCCAAAATAACTCGACGTCATCGAGATTTGACCATATACATTTCGATATAGTTATTATATCGTCGTAGAAAGGATGCAGGTACTGCCTTACGTTGGTTAATCGGTATTCTAGATGACCAGAAGCAGTCCCTGTCCTTGATCAAGAAACAACAACTGTCGGTGGTGCCTTATACAATTGGATCGCCAGATTCGGGACTCCTCCGACCAGGGCAGACAATTGGAGTCGTACTTTTTTAAACAATTAAACCGTTTATTAGGTTACATTTTTTTGTGTAATGATCTTTAAATATTATCTAAGAATTCGGATAGTTGTTTACTGTTATCTAATTCTATTTGTATCGCAGATTCTACGCGGACTTGTGTAACATAAATGTATGCTGTATGCTTGTAAAACATCTTCCTTAAACGTATTCGTTTATGTAAAATGATTTATTTTCACTGTCTTGATAACCTCCTTTATATTAACGTGTTCTATTAAATTATGTAATTTAGACTTTGTTCTATTAGAATAATTTTTATAATTTTGTTCGGATATTGATTGTTTGTAAAAGTCCCTCATTTCTAGGAGATCAAGATTCATCAATTAATATATTTTTACTTCATCCGAACATTCAGGTAATTCTATCAGTAAAGCTTCATGCGCTTGGTCTGTTATTTTACTTAATGCTAATTCTAATATCAACTAATTTAAAGAACCATTTCGTAAACTGGGAGCGGTAACTTTGTACAATCTAATGAATTTTTCAACTTTTTCGAAAAAATATAAAAGCAGGTGTGGATTCCCGTTGCGTTCAGGAATCGTTTCTTATCCATATTAATTTCTTGATAATTTGTCATTTTAATTACTTGATTTGACCTTAACCTTTTAATTTATTTAAAGTTAGAACATTAAATTTTATAGGTGATAAAAATGATTCAGACGAAAGTGATTCATCAGAACTTACTCTCCTTCAATGTTGATGCGGTGGTTTCTTCCGGTTTGTTTAACCGTAATCCATGGAGTTTTGATGTTTCGCTAACGGCATCTTCAGTGGTGATTTGGCGGTTGCTGGGTCGTTACTGATGCAGTTTAAAACCGTATTACTCTTTTTATTTTGGAGTCGTCATAGAAAATGAGTTTCTACGTCGTTGGATCCATGTTTTATTTTTAATTTTTTCCTGTTCATTATATTCTGTTTCTAAAGCTTTACGCCTATCTACGTTGTAGAAATCCGAAGTCCTAACCAGAATGGCTGTATTGTCGAACTGAGCAGTATAGCGTTCCACGAGCACATGGTGAATTATTGCAGATTTTCCGGGCTGAAGTAATCTAATAACTCGTTCGTGTTATTTCTTCCGTGTAACTATGCTGTGTAATAGGGTGGAGCACATATATATGTAATTTTTTTTTTAATTTCAATGTTCTAATAGGGAGGAATTTGTGCCTTATAATAAAATAAAGATAAGTGTAATTTTTTATTACATTTAATGAATAGCTTCTTCCTCCGCAGTGACTTCAAAATTTTAAAATTTTATAGAAAGTTTGAAGTCGTTTAAGGTCAAATATTCTGCCTGGTTTAGTAGTAAGAAGGTGTTAAATGATAGATCATTTATAGTGTAGACATTTATTTAGGTAATACTGTGACAAAGAACATGAAAATACTTTGAATTTGATAACTAACATTAATTACTAAGCTTGGAAATCCTTTTCTGTTTCTAATTTAGGCATCACTTTCCTCGATTCTAACTTAGCTTTTATTGCACCTAATCGTGATTTTTTTTGTGCACTGAGAAATAGAAGCTTCAGTTGTAATCTTCACAGCTCGCTCAACAGCTTGAGTATGACACGGAAGCCTTAAAACAATGGTTTGCTATTACCACCAGATCCTGCAATGTACTAAATTTTTTAGTCAGATAAATTCCTCAAAAGCGGCGGTTCGGTTAAGTTTTCCTAAATCAATACATGAAGTAGTATTAAAATTTAACAACTGCCCTTGAAAAACTCACGGTGTTGAAGGGTAACTCACACTGCGTACCTTCAGTATGCGACGAGCAGCCAGCTCTCTAATATGCTTCCTCTCATCTGTTATCATCGCAAGAAGAATGTTTTCGGGATGCGCGAAATAGCCGTTTCTTTAGATAACAGGATCTATAATCTTTTTTCTGGCACGTATCTGGGGGCCATAATAATGTTAAAAATATGATGGATGCCATCTTTGCATGACGGTTTGGTCTTAAAAACCAGGAAGGTGTATAGACTTTCACCACAAAAGTAGCCAGAGTTATCACATTTTCCGTCGGATTTTCAGTTACTCCATACAAACGTAGTATTCGGTTGGCACGTGTAATTCAACATGCATGTGAAAGTATACCTTGAGATTTGTTTGCGAGATGTTGTGGTTATACACCTAAAATTAATTACCGCCGAAACAATTTTGTGCAAATACTGCTGATCGGTACTCAGATTATTGGGCATTTCTGGTAACATTTATCCGTCAATGCGTTCAAACTTCTTAACAGGCAGTTTTACACATGTTTCTAGAGCTTTTCCCAGTGAACCAGCATAAGATTTAGGTCCTGAAGTACACCCGTCGAGATGAAGAAACAAGTATCTTAGAAGCAGTTCATTCATGTGAAGCAAACAGATAATCCACCGAAGTGGTTTTTGTAGTTTTTTCTCAAGCAGTTTAATAATTCCACCATACTTCCCAGTATTACCATTCGTTCCGTTACAACCAATGGTCATAATAGTATTTTGGGAAATTTCTTCTTTTATCAGAAAACCAGTTATCGTGGTTTGTATTCCTTTAGCTGTACCAACCTCAGGTACAACCTATCCCAAGTAAGTAAATCCCGGCACTAGAATAAGCGAAACATGTTCCTCAAGTGTTGTAGTCCTGTAGCTTTTCCCACCTTTCTTAATAATTTTCAAAGTTTTGTCTTTTCTCACATCAAAGTATAACGTCATGAGCTCTGTGACTGTTGTATTTATCATTAATTTCTCCCTTATTTTTGATCTTTCTCTTGGTACCTTGTATCTGTCAATGATCTCAACATCAGACCCAATGTCAAACAAAATAGATGATGTTATTACCGCTGCTGCTCTGCCCGACACTCCATATCTGTCGCATGTCTTCGATAACGTAGGAAAATCGAAACACACGGACATTTTTCTTTTTCTTTTCAGGAACGCTTTCAATTATGACGTATTCTGGCTTTTCTGAATCTGATGATGCCGCTGAAGAAGTACTTATATTTAAATCAGCTAATGTTGAAGTGTTTAAGGATGTGCTTGGGCGATTTTCTTGTTGATGTTTCCTTTTTAGAGTCTTTTGCAACTTCTTTGTAGCAGTTACGTCGATTCCACCGATTGCCATCATCATAGACGTTCTTTGATCAATCAAAAAAGCTTGCTCTTGTTTAGGAACCTTTTTATACGTAGGACAGATGCACTGAGCTAAGTCATTGCACTTGCATGTTGAAATATTAAAATGTATCTTACTGATTTGCTGAAAACTGATTTAAGATTTAACTTTTCCGGGGAGAGCCTTTTGAGAGACTTTTTAAAGTATGGGAGACACGTTGTGATTTTTTCCTCATCTGCCGTCGTGCTAGTCTAGCTGCGGTGGTGTTTAGGATATATTATCTTCTGTATTTCATTGTGGTTGTAACCGCTTTCTTGTAGGGTCTTCCGTAGCTGTTCTAATTCTAGCTGTAGATGTTCTTTGTCTGCAATGATTTTTGCCATGTTTACTAGTGTTTCGATGACGGACTTTCTTTACACTTGATGGTAGTTGGAAGTAGCGTTGACATATCTGTTAGTTCTTTTTCTTCATACATTACTTATTGAAGAGTTATCGTTTCCGGGAATACCATTAAACACGTGCGCTGTAGAAATTATTGTTGGAATTTAGTCGTTCACCAAAATTATTTATCACTCGCCCAAAATGGTTCGGAATTTGGCGAATTTCATTTGCAGTGAAACACAATTTTGCCGATCATTAGCACTGTATACTGTTTGATATAGCAATGACGAGTATAATGAAAATTGTCAAAACCACACACAGACCCACTGGCATCTTAAATCAGTTTTCTGCAAGCCTTGCATTCGCTGTGACTAAAGCTCGAACGTTCCTTTCCATATCAGGATGTAGCAACTATTTTTTTAAAACTTACCACAATGTCAAATGAGAGGAGTACATGTTCCGTCCTATTTCGTGTGTACTAGATACTTTAGAGATTGTCTTCTATAAGATACCTTAGTACAATAAACTGGTATTTAAATTATCTGTTTCCCGGTTTCCACCCTCCTCTCTTTCCTCCAAAATGACTCCTTATAAACCAGCTACTACTTTTGAGAGAAGAGATATTATCGTTAACAGTAATAATCCTCTGCGTGATTTACGGAGGTCGGTCTACTCCTACCGAATACATATTATCAAAAACGATATACTATCGAACCTACTAGCATTTACTGAATTCTTTAGTTTTATAATACCATATTATCTCCTGCAAACTTATCACTTATTTCAAAATCAATCAATCAATAATACATATTTTTCGAAAGCAATGAAAATGATACATCTTTAAGTTATTACTGTAAAACATTTCTTATAAGCCTACGATATTGATATCTAAAATAACAAAATAAACATTCTTGCACAAAAGAATTTTTGCTGATATGGAAAGAAACGTTCAGTTCACAGTCAAAGCAGTTTCAGAAGAAATTTGTAAGACTAATGGAAATTCCAATAGCACATCTGAAATTACCACAAAAGCAAATTACGAAAAATATTATATTGAATTTTTAAAATGTTGCTTTTTATGAAGATGTAGGAATATATCAATTATAAAATTCATCCAGTTCTTTTTAATTTTTAAGAGATTCTTGATTTTAAAAATTCTTGTGCCCTCTTTTCAATGAATACTTAAAAATCCAATTTTTTTATTCTCAGCTACATCTACTTACGTTCTACTTTTATCCAATAAGACCTATTTTCTTCCGATTCCTTTTTATTCTTTTCCGTTTTTGTAAAAACTTTTCAAAACTTTCCTTACTTGGTTCAGTCAAAACTTCTCACTTATATCCTAAATTCTTAATAAAAAGGACGTCTCACTTCCATTACAATATTTCGGATACTTTTTCGTTTTAAATTTTGAAAGTTTGAACAATAACGTCATTGGGTATGCTCCCTTCTATTAAAAGCAGCATCTATGTAGCACTTGCGGTTATACCGACAGTTGACATCAACTTCGTTCTTTTAAGTGGAATACCCTGTCTATTACGACTGCTTTGAATTCTACTTTCTCTGATTTCAGGTAGACATTCATACAGATTTCCTACTTTTAAAATTTACCGTTTATGTTGAGCTAATATGCGGTGTAAACGGAAGTGTTACACAGATGCTATTATTTTAATTGAAGAGAACATACCCAATAACTCTAAAGTCCAAACATTCAAATTTAAATTTAAGGTAGTTTCCGAAGTATTCTAATGGGCGGGTCGACCTGGTCTCCGGGTTATACAATAGATTTTTTTTCATAATTTTTGCATTTTTGGAATGAAAAGTATCTCACCAACCCAAATTGCTTAAGAAGCGGAAAGAATTTTGATTGCTTGAAGTAATATGCGAGGTATGGTGGATACATAGTAGACTCCAAAATTTTATAATTTCAAAAGAATGGTATGCTTCATTTAGGAGAACAAAAAATTTTGAAATTGTGAAGGTGCGTTAAAATGTGCTCAAAGAAATTAACAGAAAAAAATGTCTGTTCGCGCGTTCATGCTTCCATGCGTGCGTAAAAATAGAAATTACAGTAACCAATAACAGCATATTTTTATTCGATGCTACAGTTTCTTCATATAGTACAAGTCTTCATTCTTTGAAACATAACCTGTTTTTGTTTTTACTTTTAGGAACGACGCTATGGATACACTATACAAATGTTACTTCGTCACAGTTTTCTTTCAACTAGCATATAGCCAAGTTTTCGACACCGAACTTCTAGCTAGATCTACTGTCGCAAAGTCAAGGGCTAACAATGTAAATTATCGCCTTCCATCGAGTATAATACCTCTAAAATATGATATCACACTCGAACCGAACTTTAATACGGATACTTTTTCTGGAATGAGTTCCATAGAAATAAATGCCGTTGAAGAAGCGAATACCATAACTTTGCACGCATACCAATTAACAATAAATGAGTCGTTAATTGAAGTATTGGATGCAAATGGAAACAGTACGAAGGTTACTGGAGTAACTGAGTCAGATATCGCAGACCAACAATTTTACATCATTAACCTCGAGTCTGCATTACAACCGAACCAAAATTATACATTAGTATTTGGTGGATTCACTGGTATACTTAACAACGACTTAGATGGATTCTATCTAGCAAAATACAACGATGTAAATGGCAACGAGAGGTCAGTTTGACACATTTCAAAATTATTTAAAACTATCCTTCTTAAAGAAAACTGACAACGTTTGCATCAAAAATAATTTTTATTTAATTTCTACAGGAAATTGGCTATAACACAATTTGAACCAACTGGTGCTAGAAGAGCATTCCCTTGTTTTGACGAGCCACACTTAAAAGCAACCTTTCAACTAAGACTTGTGCGACCAATCAACTACACTAGTGAAGCAAATACGCCTTTAGAGATTTCAGCGTAAGTAAATCAATTGAAACTGTAATTATAAAGCAAATACAAACAGTGAACATACAAATTAATTATACAATAATATTATAGACAAAATCATTCAATCTACTCCTTAAAGAAGGTGTGGCGAAATAACTCTTATTGTTTTGTTTTTGTGTGTAAATATTTTTTTTAATTTTTCCATTTCAAATAATATTTCATTTCGAATATTATTTCACTTCAAATATTATTTCAATTCTTATCTTCAACTTCTTATCTTGTAAATACTTTGGTTTCCTTTCAATCTAAACTCTATTGTTCTTTCAATCACTTTTACCTGGAAATCCAACTTCAACCATACCTGCATGCACTCCCATACTAATATCTGGTTTTACCCTTAATTGCTTTCTCTTGAATTCTGTACTATCTAATTCTGTATATTCCTAGAAAGTAGTGTCTTCACCCTCTCTCTCACTACTTTTCCTTCTAGAACATTCTATCAAAATTACTAACAACCCTATCCTATAAATACTCTAAAATTTCTTATCTCAAGACAGTCTCTCGTCTACCGCTACTACCACCTTTCGTAAGTGCCTTTGCCTATTTGCTACATTGTTTCATTTTTGTTGTCTTTGTTATTGTTATTGTTGTATTATCTTGTTCTTTCTGTTACCTTGTTCTCGTTTGTTTTTTTCACTCCTTGTGCTTTTTGTTACTTGTGTTTTCGTTGTTATTGTTATAAACTGTTATCTGTTATTATTAGTGTTTTTTTTGGTACTCATATAATTTATCCACCAAAAGACACTAAAAAGGAAAAGAAAAATGGAACAAAAAGCAATCTATTTATCAAATGAGCACCCTAGTTTTTATTCTAATATTATCTTAAAAGAGGGAGAAGAATTGGAAATCCAATTCCTAGACGTGACATTTTTTTAATTACAGTAGTGTTGTCCCTTATTGTCTTATTCCATACCACCTTCTCACTTAATTCCTCTTCAAGTGGGAACATATTTATCAAAACACTTCTGCACGTATTTCGTTAGTAACTGTATGTGGTATTGACCTACTACTGCAAAGGTGACATTAAGCACAATCGTACTCACCCATTCCATAGATTTTATAAATTTGAAAATATAAATACTTATCTATTTTGGTTTATCAGATCTTAATAGTTTATTTATTTCGTGGTACAATCTGAAGTCCTGTAGAAATTCAGATACCTTTTTACAAAGTTGAGGTTGAACATACATACAATTTAGAAATGAGTGTGAGTTAATTTAATATGAAATATTTTTCTGAAAATTCATTTCTAAATTTTTTACCCACTATACGCTACCTCAAATTAATGAGGTTGGCCTGGTATTTCACTCATCGACCTTGTAAGACCAAGCCTTCATCTTTGACCCAGTACCCAGACATTAAGAATGTGTTGTACCGATTTGAAAGTGTTAAAAATGCACTTTATATTTCTACTTAAAGAAGGCAAGTCGTTTGTCATTACTTATACGTACATTACATGAGTATGGTCAATCCGAAGTCCTTCTACAACAACTTGCTCCTTGCGTTTGAAATTGCAGTATAGAATTTTTTATTGTGCTTGGGCAGAAGGCTCCTGTGGAAAACTTAGTGCTATAGACTGGGTGGCACGGAGGATTTTCAGGATCTTGTCTTTACTGAATCGTAAATTATTGTACCGTAGTCTATTTTTTGTTGAGTAATACTTTGTAAGTTTAGATCATAGATCCATTATCCGTGCCTCATTTTATGTAAGAGATGTATTTGATAATATTATTTTGTGTTAGTATTTTTCGTTATTGGGAGGGGAAAATGCTTTGTACATAGCAGCCACACAGACGCTAAAGGTAGTGTAGAAACGGTATGCCCACTAAAAATACCCCCGCGACCGTGGTGTGCAATCCGTTTAAAACATTTTTTCAAAGATAATTCGGAAACATGTAGAACAACAGATTTCTGTGATAAAAACGAAAAGTGTATCTCTTTTATCCTCATTAATTGGGAGTAACGATAAACAAATAATGGGTCTTCGTTTCTTAATTAGAATAAATCTTTAGTTATAAAATAAGTTTAGTTTTTGTTTTTTATCTTCAATTATTTTACCATCATAGTCTAATTTTTATTTTCGTGTCAACAATATGTTAATTTTCTAAATTTAATAGTTTTTACAATTTTTATTTAGAACCAATCATGTTGCAGGCTACTCAAAGTAATGTCGGTTACAATTTTTCAATCGACATTTTAAATTAACAACAATACCGTTTCGTACTCTTTACTATTTCTTCCTATTTTAAATATGTTTTAATTAATTAGATTGATAAGGATCGAGAAACTTTGAGCGAAACGTCTCTCACTTGTGTTTCAATTAATAAACACCTTTCAATGGAAATATTCAAAAGTTATTTTTAATAGAACACCCTGTATTCAATCGTATCAATAAAAGCCTAGGTTAATTTAAAGGTAACTTTTATAATACGAATCTTTCCGACAACTTCACCATCACTCCTTGTTTGATCAATTTCTTACTGTGTGTGAAAGGAGAAAAAAATAGCGTGGATCAAAAAAGTAAGAAATGAGAAAATATTAGATAGGGATAACAGAAGGCGTTATTGAAATAAATAAGAAATAGGCGAGAAAGATTGGTAGGACACCATCTTAGATTTGAAGGGTTAGTGAAAGACATACTAGAAGCAAAAAAAGAAGTTAGGTGTAGTGAATTACTGTTCACAAATAGTTAAAGATGTAGGTTGCTCGAGTTTTCGAATGATACGAAGATTGGCTCAGTCTTCATCTGCTTTCCAATTGTTTTGCAAACTAATATATGTTATAAGAACAAAGGCTTTCACGGCCGGAATCCATAGTAGAATGAAAATTCGGGCTATAGGGCCGTGGTCTAAGTGAACTATTCTGTTCAGACGTTTCGTCAGCTACTGCGGTAGTGCTGCGTTGACGTGGATTATATCTCGTCTCGACAGCGACTTTCGCCCAAATCTTCATTCTAATATAGGATACTACCAAAAATATTTTTAACTGTTCGTTCCAGTGCCATATTTGTTTGGCAAGAAGATTGAGGCTCACTTATACACAGCCCATCCTATTAATGTATGACAATGCTGTTGTTTTATTGGTTTTTGTTAAGATATTTTAATTTTTTATGCAAAACACTTATACACTATATAACCTTTACGCGTAGAGGGTACGTATGAATGTCTTTTTTTGTTGTCCTGTTTGTCATCCACCAGCCGCACGTGCTCTGGTTAACTATACAAGCGTTCCAAGCAGTAAGAGACGCATCAGTGAATATTTCTAAAATGAATTAGTTTTTTTAATGTTATTTGAAGAACTAATGTTTGAATTCCACCAGTTTAAGTTTGAGAGGAAGTAATAATTCATTAATTGGGTCCACCATTTGGTTGTGTTCCTTTTTGGAAGAAATTGTGACGACTGGTGAATTTGATTTTCTTAGTGAAGTGACAAAGGGATTTTACAACCACTTATCCACTAAATTATGACTAGATTTTTAGTTAACCTCTTCCAGGCATTCCTGCATGTGCAGTACTTACCTGCTCTATTTCATTTTGTTGTTATAATTCGAGGGGCGCCCTGTTTATGGTCTCGTCTCCCTCGATTGACAGGCTGGGCGATACTTGTTTTCCAATGAGGAAATGGGTTGCGTTCTTCTTCACCCTCTTTCTTGGTAAAGAAGTAACATGTTTGTATATTTTGCGTGAGGAGGCGCTTCCTTACCAGTATTCTGACTGATTTTATTTTTTCATCTAAATTGTATCTGAAGTGCAAGGAGCTGGGAATTAATTTATTTACAAATTCCTTATTTGATTCGTTCAAAATTTGTAAACATAGGTAACGCCTTATTTTCGTTATGTTATAGTACGTGTTATTCAGTACTTTTCCCGAATTCTATAAAGGCTCTAAAATATATCCCTTCGTTTGTTTTGAGATATTCTGCCCCTCCTATAAGATTACACTTATAGTATTACGAAGGGCAGATATGTCCGTGCTCAATTGTTGTTAAAGGTTCCTACAACAGTCTTCCCTTGTTCTCTGGAGAACTGATAGGAAGGGTACCACCTCTGGGTTGACTTCTGGTGGGTTTAATGCTTGATGCTTTTCTGGTACTTTATACTTTTCACTTAGACTTGGGTATTCCTTAATACCTGAATGAAAATGCGTTCCCTACGAGAACTTAGAGCTTTGTGTAGTGAAGGCAAGTTGATTTTCTGTTAGATAGGATAATTTGTAAAATTTCCTCTCCAAAATTTATATCATTTTTTATTATGGTGGCCTTATACCCATCCCCTCTAGTTTTCAAATTACTTACTGTTCTTTTTATGGTTCGATGTGCTTCCCATTAAGCTGTAACCAATTGTTTACCCTTGCGGTAAACTCATGTTTAACAGCTCGTGTAATTTGGGCTGCACACAAAGTTTCTTATGTTTCCTTCAATTAAACCTTCTTATGTATTAGCTGTTCAAATTATTATGGATATACAGGATCTTCTTGCGTTCGAGTCAAAATTGGTCATTATTTTTATTACATGCAAAATTTATTATTTATTCATGGAGAATGTAACAAAATAACAAATAAAACTTGCATAGCGTTTACCGAGAGAAACGCACATTTTCCAAAGAGTAGGAAGAAATTAAAAAGAATTTTAAGAAATCATTTGCAATATGGTCGGATTTCTGCGAAAAAAGTTTTACCAAAACCTACCACCTCAGACGAAGATAATGTAGTAAACGTTTTGGAATTTTGAAAAGTAATAGACTACGTATTTTGGAGTTCAATTATTATTCTGCACTTCAATCCGGAAATGCTGAAAAATGTATTGAATTATGTGAAACGATCTTGACTCAAATACAATATCCAGATTTCTTAAAAACTGTACTTAATAATTGAAATTGAGAACTAAAGTATTTAATTATTAAACTGACAGCATGAGTGTTTGAGTGATAACAATTAAATTGTTTTATTTGTTTTTCAAGTTCTGCTAAGAATTTAACAACCATATGCGGGAAAAATTAAACGGTTTTAGTTGCTTTCAGTAACAGTAAGCAATTTGAAATGGTATAACGAACCATAGTATCAGTCGAAAGAGAATAAAATTTTGCATAAGGCTATGATTATACGTACAGGGTGTTTTCTTTAAAAAAACAAACTTTACGAAGTTTACCAAATCTAACGCTCTGTATGTAATTAACCCACTTTGAAACTATCGACGGGAAGTTTGAGAGTATAACTATCCCTCTCGGGAATATTATTGTTCCATCTATCTTACTGTAAAATAGGCATGCACTCTCGCTCTTTACTGGTATGTGCTATGTGATACTTTTTAAAAAAAAATTAATACCTTGTAAATTTTATATGATGGAAAAACTTATGAGACACCTAAAATCATTAATAGAACTCAAAACCTTCATAATATACAGGGTGTTCCACTTAAAATGACAAAGTTGATGTCACCTTCCGATATAACCGAAAGTGCTACATAGATATTATCTTAATTGAGAAGTACATAACCAATAACGCTATTGACCAAATATTAAAAATTTCAATAGAAGTAGTTCCCGAAATGTTCTAATGGGTAGTGACATATACACATCAGGATACCACATCTCTTCTTTTTTATATTACTTTTTCTTTTAATGAAGTTATGTACTCAATCCTCATCTCGAATTACAAAATTATGAAAATAAACAACTAATTCAAAGTTTAAAATACACAAGTTAACTTAACCTTGATTACTTTAATCATAAACATTTCACTCCTAAACTACAAAATTAAAAAATAAACTTTAAATTCAAATATTAATCTTCAAACATTTTACTTGTTGGTTATCATTTACTTCTTTTTTCGAATTTTCTTCTCTTCGCTTTTTTTCTATTTCAACTGTATTTCATTCTTCCGCTTTTTTAAAATGAATTATAGCTCGATCTTCATATGCTGCCATTATGCGTTATCCGCATCTTTAAGTTTTAAATGGTTTGCCATGTTAATTAGTTTTGCTTTTAGTTTTTTATAAAATTGAGTGTAATTTATTGATTATGATTAGAAAGAAATCTCTATTTTTTATCCAAGGCAGTAAAAACGGTTTAAAAAGGATTTTAGGTTCCTATGTTACTTTATCATGCCTACACACTGAAATTACGTTAATATCATTTTTATTTTTTATAACCACTGCAAACTAAGATGACAGATAATGCATAAATAATGTGTTATTGGTTTATGTCAGTTGCTAAATGGTGCATCTTTTTCCAGGAGAATCGCTGAAGACAAGTTTTTGGACGAGTTTCAGGAAACATTACCTATGTCTTCTTATTTAGTTGCATTTATAATTTCGGATTTAAACTACACAAAAAAATTGCACAGGCAAAGAATTTTGGCAAGGCCGAAAGAAATTGAAGACGGTAGAGCTGATTTTCCGCTAGATCAAGCAAATCAGGTTTTAAGAGCGCTTGAAAACTTTACTGGCATAGCATTCGCTTTACCGAAAATGGACGAAGTTGCTGTACCAGAAGGTTACTTTTCCGCCGGTGCTATGGAAAACTGGGGTTTAGTGACATACAGGTAAATCCATTGTGGTACCGTTTTGATCCCAATATCATTCACAACAAAATATTTGCAAAAATATTGATTTTCGTATATACGAGCCTTTATCCCTTAATTATTAGAATCATTTTACATATAAAGATAAATTATTTTGCTAGAGAACTGTCCCTGCTTTATTACAATGAATCCACTACAGAAACACGTTTAGAATCAATAACCAGTATTATCAGTCATGAATATGGACACCAGTGGTTTGGAGATTTAGTTAGCCCCCTTTGGTGGAAGTACATCTGGCTAAATGAAGGATTTGCAACCTATTTCGAATTCTATATAACTGGAGTTGTAAGTATTATTAACTTACATTAGCATGAACTGACAGGTACTTAAAATTAAGTTGCTTATTTAAAAGACCAAACTGTAAGGATCACATCGGGAAAGTTTCGGGTTTGTAACGAATGTTATAGTAATTATTTTATCTTTATCTAAAAATAGTAAACTGAACAAATTAATTAGTGATGGTGCTTAAAATGAGCAACGAAACAAACAGCTGCTAAATATCAAAAGTTAGGAGAAAAACAAGAAATTCTCGCCATTTTTGGAGTGAACTTAACTGTATTGAACTATTATGGGAACATATCGGCTATAGACTACTGCTTCCTTAAATCGATCATCAAACGGAACATATGTATTAAACATAGCATTATTGCTAACTTAATTATTGATTATTATATAAGGCGCCAGGTGTAGATGGGATACGGGGGGAAACTCTAAAACATGCAGGACAAGAGGTTAGAGATCGTTTGTTTAAGCTAGTTAGTCACATTTACGACACGGGGAAAGTCCCAGGGGATTATAAACGGAACGTAGTAGTAACATTACCTAAGAAGAGGGGCGCGGATAGGTGCGAGACATTTCGAACAATTAGCTTAACATCCCATGCGTCAAAAATCTTAACTAGAATTGTACAGAGGAGGATGGAAAAAAGGGCGGAAGAACTATTAGGGGAAGATCAATTTGGGTTTAGAAGAAATAGAGGAGGCCATTCTAGCTTTACTAGTAACAATAGAGAAAACGATAGAAAAGGAAAGAGTGCGTACATAGGATTAGTAGATTTAGAGAAAGCTTTTGATAATGTTAAATGGGACAAGATGTTAAATATACTTAAAAATGTAGGGATGNCAGCATTGCAGCATAACAGCAAACATATTTAAAACTAAATCTATCCTGGAATTTTGACTCCCTAACAATATGAACATTATGTGAGTCCCAAAAATGTAAGTTTCTCCGATTTACAGTACCCTTATTTAAACTCATTATTCCATAAAATTTTGGATAAGATAAAGATCATCTTGCATCCTTACTAACATTAGTTCACAAAATTCAATTGGAGGGAATTTATGATTGTGCAACATTCTGTGGATTGGTGCAACAGATATTCCCAAGTCATTTGAGGCTGCAGCAATGGAACTTCCAGAGTTGACGTTAATACATTTATTTTGTTATTTTCATCTCCAGTTACAGGTTTTTGATACAGTTTCTTTACTCTAATTCCAAAACGTAGAAAATGTGCTTCTATTCGTCTGAATTTTGTTTTGTTCATCTAACGCAGATTCGGATACCTTTGGTTGAAAAGACGACACGTCCTCTCTACAACTTTCTGACATTCAGCATGAATGTAAAATAATCTTAAAATATCGTCATTTTTCAGATGGAGTTGTATATTCAGAGTCGATCTGAAAAGGTTCGCTGAAACTAAAAATGTTATAAAAAGTATATTCCATTTAAAATAATCTAGTTGAAGTCAACTTTCGGTATAACCGAAAATATTTTAATTAGAAAGAGCATACATTTTTAGTTTATTTGACGCATCTTCAACTGTAAAAGTTTAAATCTTTTAATAAACGGGTTGCGTGAAAAACCCTGTGTATATAAGTGTGGCGTTTATAATCAATAAAAAACATGCCTTCAGAAGCAAGGTGTCATAACATTTTGCATTCCAAAGACAATTAAGCACGTAAATCTATAATTTGAATACGGGCCTGTATCTCTCTGACTAACCCTTTTATTGTGGTGCTATTGAACTTGGTTCCAGTACGTACATGTCACTCAAATAATCAATCAGTTATTTATTTACCTACCAGAGAACGAGCTGAATACACTCCTTTTGTAAAAAAGTCAAAGTGAAAAATAATTCCGTACTTTTCATAAAGGTATTGAATTGTCTACCGTTAGCTTTAATGCAAATAATACGGCGGTATATTTGTCAAATTTTGACACAGATATCAAGAGTAGCTTTAATTATACGTAAACAACTGATAATGTCATCATCACCATCATCATCATAAGGTTGTCAGTCCTAAGACTGGTTGGACACGTACCTCCACTCCTTCCTATCCTGAGCTAATCTTCGCATTTCCCTACAACTAGAACAACCCACCTACCCCTCCTGACTCCTGTTTCTGCCTCTAAAATGTCTCTGACTAAACCTTCATGTCTGAGAAGGTGTCCTACCAACCTATCTCGCCTATTTTTTATTGACTCTGTCCGCCTATTCTTTCTAATACCTCTTCATTTCTAACCTTTTCTACCCACGTTATCCTCATCATTAACCTATAACACCACATTTCGAAAGCTTCTAACCTTTTCTTTTCCGCCACGCCCACTGTCCATGTTTCGCACCCATACAACGCCGCGCTCCAAACATACACCTTTAACAAACTTTTTCGAATTTATAAATTAACCGTTCGCGAGCATAGAAATGACTTTTTTTTATTAAAGGCGACACGATCCTGAGCTATCCTCTACTTTATATCCTTACTACTCCTTCCATCCTGACTTATCTGACTTCCCAAATATCTAAAATCAGTCACTTCTTCTATTTTTTCGTCTCCTATCTTTATACTCGCTCTTTCCCTACTTTTTCTTCCCTTGCATACCAGTATTTTACTTTTACTTTTATCTATTTTCATATAGTACTGATCTGTCAGTACCGCTTCCATCTTATTTAAAGCTATCTCTAAGTCCTACTTGCTAGATGCTAATACTGCTATATCATCTGCAAATCTAAGCATACTAATCTTTCTCCCCTTAAAATATCTTCGAGATCTGATATAGTTGACATTTCTAAATTTGTGATTTCGTGTTTAAAGCTAGAGAAATGCTTCTTTGAATAATCTGGAGTGAATTCAATAATTTCTAGGAAGCAGAAATATTTCCTTGTATTACCGATTAGATATTTTTGTTAAAGGGACATAGCAAATGAGCTATACTTATTAATCTGCTTTGTAATTTTCTCTTGGTTACTGAATAATTTTATTAAATTTTTGTTTATTTCATCAAAATAAATGTGGTCCAAATTTCCTGTAATAAACTTTATAGCAGATTCGGCGAAGGTCAATGACGCACGTTTGTGTATTTTCGATTTAAAATTTAAAAGCTCATTCTTTATTAACTTAAAGTTATCTCGTGTATAGTTTGTTGACGTCAACGTTACTCTACAACGAAAAATTTCTGAGTCTGAAGGTTTCAGAAATGAGTTTCGACTGGTTGCATTGTTGTATCATTGAACCCTGTTGATTTATTTTTTTCCGCTGATATATCATTTAACATGATAAATTTTCATTTGAGAAGGTTTGAATAAAAATTTCGTATAATTTGTCATCAAGAAATTATATTCTATGTACGTTATTTGAATTAATAACTTCCTTAAGAAGTTTAAAAATACCTTCATCTTCTTGTCCTGCTGTAATGGCAATTTCGTAATAATTTTTGTATTTAAAGGGTTTAGGGCAAACTATCTTATATTTCAACCAATATGAAAACTGGTTTAATGGTCCATCTGATACGGAAAGTAAAAATACAGGACTTTCTACAGCTGTATGATTAATATCACCGCTTGTTTCATAGTTATTATTTTCGGGAAAACTCAATGGCTTCGGTTTCAGATAAATCGGCGTTTTCATCAACTTGGGCTAAAATTGATAGTAAATCTAATTCTTCATAATTAGTCGCAATTATGATTATTGACTTCTATTAAGAATGTTGTCCATTAGTCGTTACTCATTCGAGTATATTCCATATGCTTGTTGTTGACCGTAAACGCTGTTTCTTCAATACTTTCAGGGCTCATTTCGATTTGTTGGAAGCCCTGAACCAAATCGAGCTTACTAAAGTAGGCACATTTCCCCGAATTGTCTAGTACTTCAATTATGCGATGTAAAGGGATCTTATCTCCTACCGTTTTTTTTATTAAGTTTCCGATAATCGATTACCAATCGCCATTTTCTTTTTCCGCTAGCATCTGTCTTTTTAGGGACAATCCAAACAGGACTACTATACGGAGAAATCAAAGGTCGAATTATTTTATCGTCGAATAATTTTTGAATTTGTCTTTGAATTTCTTCTTTAAGGTGGTACGAGTACCTATAAATCTTGCTGTAAATAAATTCTTCGTCAGTTGTCCTAATTTTGTAGAAACCGTAGATTAAAATATTATTGATTATCACACCTCATATATAAATATATACACTACATCTGATCAGTACTTTGGAAAAATTAACGGAGAAGAACGTACATGAAAGAGAAATTGTATGAGCCATATCGCGCAACCCAGTGACATACACTACCATGAGAGTAATAATCTTAACAAAAGCCTCATTTTTTCCTGAAATCGTGACCAAGACTACCTAGTGTAATTGTGTACCCTGCTGTGGTGGAGTTCCATACGCGAACACGGGCAAGGAAAGAATCTACTGGCGGTTATTTCACCCGGCAACAGGAAAGAAACAATTCCCAAAAGCAACTGAGGTACATCCTGGTAGGTGTGGTGTGTTGAACACGGTCATAGGTACGGTATGTTTCGATAACTGTAGGGGTGCAATTCTCCCTTAAAATCTTCCAAACCGGATCACAAGGAATCCCTGCTTGCCATGCAGGCACTGAGATACTCACACTGGGATTGTCTTCTATTAATCGCAAAACGATTTCACCAGTACCGACCTGTCGTCCTTGCTGGCCTTCAACTCCTCAGTGCAGTCTCACTGCACCGTCCGTATATGACCACCAAGCGTTCGAATAAATTGTTTTGTTTGATATTTTCAACATAAACCTAGTTTTGTATTTTGTGGTAATAATAGTAACTTTGCCAATCGAACGGTAGCTACGAACTGCAGACTATACTAACCGTCATTGTGTCCAATCGGTTTGTCTGCGACCTAGCTGCTGCAAAAGTCACGAGTAGGTATGTAGGTATGTGTGTTTCGATGCTTGCGTTAACGAAGGGCGATAAGATAACGTCACTACCAAACTGGCAATTGTCCTCAATAATTGAAGGCTAGTTGACAGGGGTACTTTTTATACATCATTTTTACACCTCTAACGTTCTTATGCTATCGCGCGAGACACTGTACAGAGTTTGCAGATGTTACCTTTCAAATAATCCGGAATATTGATCGGACATAGTGTATACAAATAATAATGCTCTCTAGGAATAATTTGGAACACCATAAATACCACTTTTTCTTAATATCTTGCTTCCAAAGATGTACTAACTGATAAAAATGATGTCGTATGAACATAAGCAAAATAAGACGAATTGCCATTGATTACCCATTTCTAGTAGTTAATTAATTTTACGTTATAGACATTTATTGAACTTTAAAAATGAATTGCCTCGATCGTAAGTTCAAGTCAAAGCTAAATTTACTAGCTACATTTATAGAAAGTTCTACTGATTTGTCGTGAGTAGTGACCGGCTTAAACAATTAAAGCTACTTCAGAGTTTTTGTTACAGTACACTATTTGATGACATCAACGTTGCCACATCATGGCCAGGACCGGCTTTGGATTGTAAATTATTGTGATTGCATTACAAAATTCTTTTGCCCTTAACAATGCTGCTGAACTCACTATGCGATTGTTTATTGCTTCTTATTTCTGTTATATCTTGCACGCATTATGCTTATAAATTGTATTGTAATCGTCATAAATCCTAGGTTCACGAAGATTGGGAAATGATGGACCAATTTGTAATAAGGAATGTCCACTCTGCTATGTCAAGTGATCAAACATTATCCACAAGAATTATGAATCAGGATGCTGGTTCGCCTTCCGAAATTAGTTCACTTTTCGATGTCATCGCTTACAACAAAGGTAAGGGATTTATTCATTACGGTACCTAATGTTTTTCCGTATGTGTAATGCGTAACTTATAGAAAACTTTAAAGCAGAGCTGCCCAAACTCCGCTCCTGGCGCTCCTAGGTGCTCTTGCAACAGCATATGAGAAAGATATAAAAATCCTTATGACTCAAAATTGAAGTGTAAAAGTATAGTGTCGAACGATACCTGTTTTCATTTCTCCATAGCCATAACCAGAAGGCTTTTCGTTTATTATTTAAATTTTCAAATTTCTAACATTTTGGATTCCGTTCTCTTGATTGGCACTCTCAATGTAGGTGACCTGTTCTTCCACAGTTCGAACACATCAGACGTTCCCTGTAGTTGTTACAGTCCCAAAGTGACCGTTACTGCCTACATTTTATATTGCACAACTAGTTGGTCAGAGTCTTATGTACCTGTTATAGTTATTTATCGTCATATCTGATTTCTAAGCAGTTTACAATGTACGATATTGTTAAAACTCGAGTATTTCAGCGTTTTTCCTCGTAAAGTAATTATTAGTGCAGTTGAATCGGTTCAGGTTTCTACCTCTGCTGCTGCTCCAAATGGCCTCAGGTAAATGGACCACGAGATCTTCCCATGAAATATGGGAGGGGTAATTTTTAATACTCTTACAACGCATTTTGTATTCTCCTGAATATCGGCCTGGTCCTTCGAAACAGTATTTAAATCAATAGTATTTACGACGGATTTGTTCTAATGATCTCCTGTGTCTTTCAATTATCACGACCGATATTACTAAACGACACCTGTTTTGCCCACTTATTAGTGTTTGTACATGTAATATTATGTAAGTAAGGCAAAACGTTCTCCGAACATAAAAATTACTTATTTAGTTACCCCTAAAAATAAATAATATAAAATTTTTAAACATCCGTGTTATTCGTTTATGAATGCTTATGACACAAATTCTCATTCTGTTTGCAACGAATTACTTAATTACTGATTGATTAATTAATGAAGAGCGTACGATTAGGCGACTTTCTTTTTAAAGTAATTATAGTATAGATTCTGGGTACTCAACCGATCAGAAATTCTTTGTGAATCTTGAATATATTGTAATATTCGTGGGTTCAACAAAATTATCATCTAAGACTGATAACGACAAAAAACTATTTATTTACACTAATTATTGGGTGTGGGCGTTAAACGCTTTTTGGATAGGTGAAATCTCGTGCGTTCGCGTCACCGACATGCTTGTAACAATATATCTGTAGCTATACAGCTACGACGATCGATGTGGCTTTTACGCGATACTTAGATAAATTTCAATCCAACATTTTCATTTCTTACTTTAGTTACCATAAGCGTTTTGTATTTGTTTAGAACACAATGAAATAATTGAAAGTACAAAAAGTCTAAGTATTGTTGAAATTAACGATAACAATGATGCAAACAATGTTAAAATCAAGTACATTGAAATTTATGTAAATATTTGAATAATAAAGAAACATATAAACATGCAAATAATTGTTGCTCGGAGTGTCAATAAATGTAAAAACCACATTGTGAAATTTCAAATTTTAATACTGAAGTTTTCACTTCTATCGGCAGTCCCTATAACTGTCAATTTTTTTTTTCTTTGAACTGTTTAACTGCTTTCCCATAACGCAGGTACGACACACACATTTACAAATACGGCGCCCATGAAGAAAGGCACCCGCGGCTAGTCGGCGAATCAATAAGCCGTTCACGCACACGTGTGCCAGATCGCACACAAACATACTCGTGCTCGCTACAATACCATAGAAAATGTATTTTTGGAGAAAAAAACATAAATAAATTTAGTTTTCAATCTCCATTTGTATTACCATAAGTAATCTTATAATGAAAGTGACAACAACAGAAGCGCCTATGACATTTTCGTTGCTATAAGAATACTTATGGTTACACCTGGGGGTAATGTCAGATAATGTTCGTAATTTCCAAAGTAATATTTTTAATTTTTCTGGAATTGGGTCTGCGGAACTTTCTAAACACGGAACCATTATATGCAATTGCATTTTTTATGGTTCCTGGATATATTAGGTCGACTATGTGAAGCGCGAAACCAATACTCGGAAATACGGCCAATGTGGGCCGAGACAAATTTCTAAAAGTTCTATGTGACGATGACGAAGAGACTATGTGGGGTCCTATAAAGAGCAAAGCTATATGAGGAAAGAAAGATATTAAGTGAAGTTCGCGACGGAGTTTAAGTGAGGTCCGCACAGCGGGCGCGAAGCCGAGAGGAGGAAGTAATCCATTGGTCTATATGGTTCGGGAATCGTCGGGCACATCATAGACTGGTAATTACAAGCTTGTACCGAAATTTCCCCTTAAAGAGCGAACCACCGGATTCACATACATCGTACAGTTTCCTCCTAGAAGTCAAGTAAAATTAAAAGTACAACCGTTTAACTTAATCTCCCTCAGTGACTCGTGGCTTCTACTTAATAATTTGTGTTTTACACTTATTGTTGTCGTTAGTTTGAGTTTTTCAGCAGACGTTTATATGACAATGGTTTTGCTGAATATCCAATAATAAAAGAAAAACAGGTGTTTTATGGTAAACCTCTCCTACCCCAAGCGAGCCCATCGCAATTACAATACAGAAATGAAAACCTAAATTTAGTTATTTTCCTTTTTTCATTTGATTTCATTTTTGTTTGCATTTTGAGAATTCACAATTTCCGGTCAATTAAGTACCCAGAGTCTATTTTACAATTATGTCATTGTAAAAAGCTGTTGACTAATCGTAAGATCCTCACTTTTAAGTTAATTACCGCTACTACTTGACTAGTCACAAACAAAATGGTTTAAGAAAATACTACAAACGGCACAGTGAGCGCCATCTGTAGCACGATGCTACATTTTAGGATTACGTATTTTNTAGAAGGGGTAGAGGTAGACCTAGATTAGATTACTGTTCGCAAATAGTTAAGGATGTAGGCTGTTCTAGTTTTAGGGAAATGCGAAGTTTAGCACAGGATAGGAAAGAGTGGAGGTACATGTCCAACCACTCTTAGGACTGACGACATTATGATGAATGCAAAGCTGAACACATTGTATCCGCTATGTTCTTATCCCTAATCTCCACCACTTTACATAATATAAATGTAATATATATTCAATTTACCTTATACCATTTATACTGGTCCCTTGCAGAGAGGGTGTGACAACAACAACAAATTTTTTCTCATTAACTTGAAGTAATTTACAGTTGGTATAAATAGAAAATCAATTTTCACATCAATATTTGATATATTACTCACTATTAGATATCAAAGTGTTTCATACATATAGTGTGTTAAATTTATTTTACACTAATGGAGAACGTCAGAAAGTTGTAGAGAAGTTTAGTCGCCCTTTCAACCAAAGATATTCGAACCTGCCTCCGGTGAGTAATACAAAATTTAGGCGAAACGCACATATACATGAATATTAAAAATACAATGAAAATTATACAACACACGACTAAATAAAAGCGATAAACTATAACTGTTCAAAGTGTCCTCAATTCCTGTTTAAGCACTCGATTATTCTTCGATGCACTTCATCGGTTGTACTCATTCTTATTCGAATTGCTTCTAGTTCTAAAAGATAGCAACTGGGCGATCATACATCATACTTTTTGCATGACCCTCTAAATAGAAGTCGAATAACTGGGATGACCTAGGGGGCCACTTCCAAGGGTCATTACTTCCAATCCAATGATCTAGGAACATGCTGGTTACTTCAACAGCTACGTCATTAGTGTTGTATGTACCTGCCCCGTCCATTATATACTAGCAATTTCGTAAAAATACTAATGACAAATTGTCCAAAACGTAGACACAACCCGTCTTAGTATTCCTATATACCTCTCTGAATTTAAAAGTTCCATCATAAATTTCAAATATCACAGCATTGCAGCATAACAGCAAACATATTTAAAACTAAATCTATCCTGGAATTTTGACTCCCTAACAATATGAACATTATGTGAGTCCCAAAAATGTAAGTTTCTCCGATTTACAGTACCCTTATTTAAACTCATTATTCCATAAAATTTTGGATAAGATAAAGATCATCTTGCATCCTTACTAACATTAGTTCACAAAATTCAATTGGAGGGAATTTATGATTGTGCAACATTCTGTGGATTGGTGCAACAGATATTCCCAAGTCATTTGAGGCTGCAGCAATGGAACTTCCAGAGTTGACGTTAATACATTTATTTTGTTATTTTCATCTCCAGTTACAGGTTTTTGATACAGTTTCTTTACTCTAATTCCAAAACGTAGAAAATGTGCTTCTATTCGTCTGAATTTTGTTTTGTTCATCTAACGCAGATTCGGATACCTTTGGTTGAAAAGACGACACGTCCTCTCTACAACTTTCTGACATTCAGCATGAATGTAAAATAATCTTAAAATATCGTCATTTTTCAGATGGAGTTGTATATTCAGAGTCGATCTGAAAAGGTTCGCTGAAACTAAAAATGTTATAAAAAGTATATTCCATTTAAAATAATCTAGTTGAAGTCAACTTTCGGTATAACCGAAAATATTTTAATTAGAAAGAGCATACATTTTTAGTTTATTTGACGCATCTTCAACTGTAAAAGTTTAAATCTTTTAATAAACGGGTTGCGTGAAAAACCCTGTGTATATAAGTGTGGCGTTTATAATCAATAAAAAACATGCCTTCAGAAGCAAGGTGTCATAACATTTTGCATTCCAAAGACAATTAAGCACGTAAATCTATAATTTGAATACGGGCCTGTATCTCTCTGACTAACCCTTTTATTGTGGTGCTATTGAACTTGGTTCCAGTACGTACATGTCACTCAAATAATCAATCAGTTATTTATTTACCTACCAGAGAACGAGCTGAATACACTCCTTTTGTAAAAAAGTCAAAGTGAAAAATAATTCCGTACTTTTCATAAAGGTATTGAATTGTCTACCGTTAGCTTTAATGCAAATAATACGGCGGTATATTTGTCAAATTTTGACACAGATATCAAGAGTAGCTTTAATTATACGTAAACAACTGATAATGTCATCATCACCATCATCATCATAAGGTTGTCAGTCCTAAGACTGGTTGGACACGTACCTCCACTCCTTCCTATCCTGAGCTAATCTTCGCATTTCCCTACAACTAGAACAACCCACCTACCCCTCCTGACTCCTGTTTCTGCCTCTAAAATGTCTCTGACTAAACCTTCATGTCTGAGAAGGTGTCCTACCAACCTATCTCGCCTATTTTTTATTGACTCTGTCCGCCTATTCTTTCTAATACCTCTTCATTTCTAACCTTTTCTACCCACGTTATCCTCATCATTAACCTATAACACCACATTTCGAAAGCTTCTAACCTTTTCTTTTCCGCCACGCCCACTGTCCATGTTTCGCACCCATACAACGCCGCGCTCCAAACATACACCTTTAACAAACTTTTTCGAATTTATAAATTAACCGTTCGCGAGCATAGAAATGACTTTTTTTTATTAAAGGCGACACGATCCTGAGCTATCCTCTACTTTATATCCTTACTACTCCTTCCATCCTGACTTATCTGACTTCCCAAATATCTAAAATCAGTCACTTCTTCTATTTTTTCGTCTCCTATCTTTATACTCGCTCTTTCCCTACTTTTTCTTCCCTTGCATACCAGTATTTTACTTTTACTTTTATCTATTTTCATATAGTACTGATCTGTCAGTACCGCTTCCATCTTATTTAAAGCTATCTCTAAGTCCTACTTGCTAGATGCTAATACTGCTATATCATCTGCAAATCTAAGCATACTAATCTTTCTCCCCTTAAAATATCTTCGAGATCTGATATAGTTGACATTTCTAAATTTGTGATTTCGTGTTTAAAGCTAGAGAAATGCTTCTTTGAATAATCTGGAGTGAATTCAATAATTTCTAGGAAGCAGAAATATTTCCTTGTATTACCGATTAGATATTTTTGTTAAAGGGACATAGCAAATGAGCTATACTTATTAATCTGCTTTGTAATTTTCTCTTGGTTACTGAATAATTTTATTAAATTTTTGTTTATTTCATCAAAATAAATGTGGTCCAAATTTCCTGTAATAAACTTTATAGCNTCGAAACTGCCAGACGCGGATCGCGATTTCGATCTTTTTGGATCTCATCAGCGCGTCGCAGGCAGCTCCGACAGAACACAGACCAACTTTTAGCTGTTGTCTTAACAGTGTGTTTCAGAAAATACTACAAACGGCACAGTGAGCGCCATCTGTAGCACGATGCTACATTTTAGGATTACGTATTTGGCGCTCACTGTGCCGTTTGTAGTATTTTCTGAAACGCACTGTTAAGACAGCAGGTAAAAGTTGGTCTGTGTTCTGTCGGCGCTGCCTGCGACGCGCTGATGAGATCCAAAAAGATCGAAATCGCGACCCGCGTCTGGCAGTTTCGACAAAATACAGACCACTTCGAATTATTTTAAAATGGTTTAAGTTACAAACGATTGACATAGGTTTGATAAAATAAATTGGTCGAATATCACGAACGAAAATTGTATAAATATCTAAGCCAACCCAATTAAACGACAGTAGAGATAAACACACTAATTTTGTACTCTTTGTAAAGATAAATCAAATTTTATAAGCTTTAAATTAGTTAACGTGATAAACTTAGTGAACCGGTACGTATGTAAATTAATACACCACAAATGAAGAAATCTTTCAATCACAGTTAATTATGCTTTAATTTGAGCAATAACGAGAACACCTTTTTCTTAGCCGGTGCTGTAATTCGAACAATGGAAACATTCCTATCCACACCAGTATTCAAGAGCGGATTGAATAAATACCTTACAAAAAAGTAAGTTACTATTACATAAATCACAATGCTTAATTATTTCCTTTTAAAATTTAATTTTTCAGGAGATACTCTGCAGCCCAACCATCAGATCTATACTCTGCTTTGCAGGAAGCAGCTGACGAGGCTGGTCTAAATCTTAATGTTTCCAAAATTATGACCACATGGGATTCAACTCCTGGAGTTCCGCTTGTGACTGTGACGAGGAATTACGATAGTGGAAGTGTTACATTCACACAAGTATTGTTTCATTTAAAGATTTTCTTCTACTTCATATGTATTTCAAATACTTTGTCTAATTAACAGCACCTTTGTCAAGTACATTACCGTAATTATATACATATTTTACTTTTAGAACCGGTTTATAGCAACCAATCCTAATTACACATCTGATGAACTTTGGTACATTCCAATCACTTACTCAACCAAATCAAAGGCTGATTTTAATGACCTAACAACAGACATTTGGCTAACAACCGCAACAGCAAGTGAGAATTTGGGATTGTCAGCTTCTGATTGGTTATTGGTGAATAAGAAACAAAGAGGTAATTTAAAGCTGTACTCTAAGCTTTGACGCTAAGTCTCCTATCACTAAAGAAAAATTCTGATAGTTTCGTGTAACTTTCTAAAATCCAAATAAATAATATCAAAGGTCACAATGGAAGGTAAAAATGATATGTAGACCATTATGCCAGCTGAATTACCTCCACGTTGAATTTCATACCTACAAAGCGTTCGCATTCAGATGTAGCCAAAAAATAATTTAGCATCCGTGCCCCATAATTTTTTTTTATTTACATATATCAACTCCCATGCCCACTTAAATTTCTGGGCTCGTAATTTTTATCTTTTTTATTAAAAGTTAGCGTGAAAACAGGATGTTAAGCAGAAACAATTAACTGTAACATGGCGGTACCCATCTCAAGAGCTGACTGACAAATAAGTTCAATACAAATCAACACTTAGAAACCTATTTAGCCTTTATAATACTAAATTTAACTTATGATATGAAACGAACGATATCAAAAGTGAATTTATGATTCATTACAATTTTTAAGACCCAAATTGATAAGAACAGTATAGTTCATACTTAGTAGTTTATCTGCTTTGCCTTTAGCATTCTGATAAAATCGAAATCGCGATTCACGTCTGATAGTTAGATAGACCAACAGCATTTGGTGTAGGTCTCTATAACGTACGTATATAATCAGCGTCGATAATTCTGTTAGATAAGTATGTATATACTTTGGTAGGATCCTTATGTAGCATGTCATCTCTCAGTTAGCAGCAGATATCAATAACGTACCAATACACTGTCATTATTTAAAAGTCATCTTGCTTTTAAAGAGATCATCAGATTTGCACGATGATTTATCGAATACATCTATATTACATTTGGTAGTTTCGATTAATTATTTACTAATAACATACACTATTGCTTTCAATTTGTGCCCATGCACATCGTCGTCAATTACATTGGGCAAATGAAACCCTTGATTAGTATGGTTTTTAACTAACATATAAAACATTTCAATTTGCAGCAGATTTCAATAAAGTAGTGAATATACATACTATACCCACATAAACATGAAAACAACTTTGTATATAACTACTAATAAATAAATATATTTTTAGGCTATTACAGAGTAAATTACGACGAAAGCAACTGGAAACTCATCATAGATTATTTGAACAGAGATAATTTTGAAAATATTCCCATTACAAATAGAGCACAGCTTATTGATGACGCACTTACTTTGGCAAGGTCTGGCAGAGTTAATTATCGTACCGTATTTGAACTACTTAATTACTTATCCAGGGAAACTCATTATGTACCTTTATATGCTTTATTTAACAACTTTGATTACTTACGGCGATTGGTACAACACAGTACTATCTCACAAATGTTTCAGGTAATGTTTATTAAGTCCTTTTTATTTAATTTATCATCCTCAGAACCGCTCTCATACCTACCTAAAATAACTAAAGACGGTTAAGTATAAATAAAATTGAAGTATTTGTTTGAAATATCGAAATAATTACTTTATATAAGCTCACGCGGTGGTTTGTTTGCCATTAACACTCAAACTACCCTCAAAAAGATTTTGATGAATGATGATCTGAATGTCTCTCCGATCTTAGAAATGATAGAGTAAGCGCCTGTCAGACATACGTCTTTTTTTGTAGGAAGAGAAAAAAGTTAGCATTTCTAGATGAATTAATAGTTTCAAAATAAAATAGAATTGAACTACACATTGAGTGTGAACTAAATATATTAATTATACATTAATAATGCCTAATTAATACCAAACTGAGCTTATTTTATTCACTGATATTACTAAAGACCGATCCGACGAGATTTAAACCTTGACGAAACTCTTGTACAAATTAGACTGAGTGGATCGACTTGCGAGTTTTGATGGTTTAGAAAGCCGGACCACAGGTTCAACCATAATGGAAGAGTTCTTAAAGAGAAACCGGAGTAAGATAAGCTCCTGAAAGAGGCCGGCAGCTCTTTCAATACTCAGGGTGGTAGAGATCACGAGGATCGTTATAGCACTTTGACGCACAATACTGCGATGTGGAAGGTAACGGAAAATCACCATATTATCATCTCAAGTAAAATGTAGTACACAAATTAAACTTAAACTAGTCCCCCATTCGGATGTCAGAGTGGGGACTACCTCGGAGTATGCCATCAATATGTACAATAGGGGTAGGTGTAATAGTCGAGTCGGAGCGTAGGACAATGAGGCAAGTAGGGAAATTGGAAAACTTAAAAGTTGAGATGAATAGATTAGAATTAGATATGGTAGGTATTAGTGAAGTGCGTTGGCCCGAAGCTGGAGATTTTAGAATAATACATACAGGATCGGTGAAAGGTAATTCGGGGGTAGGAATTGTAATGCGTAGGAAAGCAAGGCAAAAACGTCAAACCCGTTTCCGAGAAAGGTCCGCTCCCGTCTACGATCGAGATCCGAAAACCTCCACCATCCCGATGGACCATGCTGGTATCATCGCAGATATGGTTCTCGCGCAAACAAATGTACACAGTCATGTTCATTTATAACAAATGCAAGTAATCAGGAAAACCCCACCAACAGTCGTTAATGGCGGCAAACGACAGCCAATTTAAAATTTCACGCTGCATTTTTTTTTACGAAAAAGCGATAGGATAGTTATGGTTCCATTAAAATCGAAGCGGGTAAAAACGGCATTAGTGCAGGTCTGCATGCCTACATTTTTGTCATTTTGATACAAATGAAGAAAAGGCAGATAGGTGAAAACAATATTTAGGGAACCTAAACGCAAGCCGTGAGTTAGGAAATATATTAGGGATAGAAGATAGTGTGGATATAGGTGAGCTAGGTTATTCCATAATGAGAGAAGTTTGTTGTTGCATTGAAAAACTTAAAGAATAATAAGGCGCCAAGTATAGTTGGGATACATGGGAAAATTCTGAAACATACAGGACAAGAGGTTACAGGTTGTATGTTTAAGCTAATTAGTCGCATTTACGAAACCATTCCAGCTATACGGGTAACAAAACAGAAAACGATAGAAAAAGGAAAGAGGGCATACATAGGACTTGTAGTTTTAGAAAAAGCATCTGACAATATTAAATGGGACAAGATGTTAAATATATTTAAAAATGTAGGGATATATTACAGAGACAAAAGAGTGATACTTAGTTTATATAAAGAACAACAGGCAGTTATAGAACTAGAGCTACAACGTAGAGAATTAAATATTAAGAAGGGAAAAAGACGGGGATGCACACTATCACCGCTACATTTTAATTTATACATCGAAAACGCGATCAACATCATTAAAGACAGTAAAACTGTAGAGATAGATATACGGGGGCAAAAAATTAGTATACTTAGATTTGCAGATAATATAGCAGTATTAGCATCTAGCAAGGAGGAGTTAGAGATAGCTTTAAATAAAATGGAAGCGGTATGTAACAGACAAAGCAGTTTTGTATGAAAATAAATAAAAGTAAAATAAAATTACTGGTATGGAAGGGAAAAGAAAGTAGGGAAAGAGCGAATATAAATATAGGATAGGAGGCGAGAAATTAGAAGAAGTGGCTGATTTTAGGTATCTAGAAAGTCAGATAGTCAGGACAGAAAGAGTAGTAGGGATATAAAACAGAGGATAGCGCAGTGTTGAGTCGCCTTCAATAAAAATAAATCACTTCTATGCTCGCGAACGGTTAATTTATAAATTCGAGAAAGGTTGTTAAAGGTGTATGTTTGGAACGAAGTGCTGTACGGGTGTGAAAAAGGTTAGAAACGTTCGAAAAATGGTGTTACAGGCGGATTATGAAGATACCGTGGATAGAGAAGATTAGAAATGCAGAGATATTATAAAAAATAGGAGAACAGAGGACTCTTTGGAAGCAATAAGAAACAGGCGAGATAGGTTGGTAGGACACCTTCTTAGAGGGGTAGAGGTAGACCTAGATTAGATTGCTGGTCGCAAATAGTTAAGGATGTAGGTTGTTCTAGTTTTAGGGAAATGCGAAGATTAGCTCAAGATAGAAAGGAGTGGAAGTTTGTGTCGAACCAGTCTTAGGACTGACGATCTTATGATGTTAATTACTAAATAAACAATGTAAATTTAATGTACATATAGTGATTGGTCCCTCATGAGAAACACTGAGCCAATGGTTTTCTTATTCTGATCTTTATGCAGCCTAATGAAGGGTTCATCACTTTGAATATGTCCGATTGATGAAACAGTACTACAAAATAATTATTCGATAGCTCAATCATCATTAGAAATCACATCACAACCGTATACTATCACTAGAGCGTATAACAAAAAATATTTTGAACCAGAAGGCTGAAACCGTTGAAACAAGTGTTTATAAGTACTAAAACCATTGGTAAGAAGGAAATCGAACGCGATGAAGGGGTAATACAACATCGTCCCGCCAAAAGTCTGCAACGTGACAAATTGTACGATTTTATTGGTAAGCAGAAATTGATGTTGTAAGAATACATATTAAAATATTCGTTGAATCCGAATATTGAAATTTTATCTAGTTTAGTTTGCATGCGTAGTTGCCAGTGTGCACATAGCAATGTAGTTATACGACCAAATATTGACCACGGATGCACGGATTGAAAATATTAGGTACTTTTCATCGAGTTTCGACTGCCGGCGGCGATTATATACTATTTTCTAACACTCTGTATAGTAAATCCAGTTTTGATGCTACAGGCTATCTTGAATTAAAAAGGGGAACTAGTTTTGTTTGTAAAGTTTTCTCGGCTAAACATACAGTTTGGCCGTAATGAACATATTGTGAACTTTCTTCACATAGCTGCTATTTAAACTAAGCTTTATTTTTTCTATTTTCGAACACTGTACAGCAAATCAAATTCGGATAAACCAGATGATTTTGTATTAAAATAGGAAACAAATTTTGTTTAAAAAGATTCCTGGAAAATATACAGTTTTTGAAATCATGTACCGCTGTTTGTTGTTTAACAGAAGGTTGAATATTTATTTTGCAACCTCCCAAAATAGCCATGCTTTTTATGTTGTTTGGACAACATAGAGATATTATATAGAGTCGCATCGATAGAAAGACAAAGAAATTATATTAAGTATAAATATCTGTTTAATGACACATGCGCAGTATGTAGTTGTATCTGATTGGCTGCTTCTGTAGCTGATTCGCGGAGCTACTTGAATTTTATTGACATATTGTATAATTGCCAAAACATTCATGTAATATTATGTGACGCTAACAGATATAGTTGCCAGTCTCCAATCTATTTGCGAGGCCAATAGTCAGAAAAAGATTAGTCTATTAGCGAGACTGATTTATTCATAATATTTACACAGTATTTATACTAAAATTATTCACATGGATTAAATGTAAAATGCTTATCCCAGTTCGCTGGTTGAACTAGTATTGATCAATCGACAGCGACGTTAGAAATGCTGAGCCGCTTACATACACACGCTTAAAATGCATTGGTAAATCCAATTAAAATATAGTAACAACAGTTGAATATTTAAGTGAAATTGGTCCTAACTAAAAAGATTGTTACAGCAACTAATAAATATTTGTTGTCTATAATAAGTTATCACAAAAAATGTATTTTAGTTACGTTAAATAATTTTCTTCATACATCTCATCTAACTACATTTGTACTAACAGACAAAGATTCTTTTTAGAATAACAAATATTTTTGTAATGATCACGTGATCACATCCTTGTTTCTAGTAAAAACTAGTTTTCTTGCGTCAACTAAAACAGGGATAGTTAGAAATATAAATAATATTTCTTCTCCAATGAAATGCTTCTTTAGAAGCTGCTAATTAAATTAATAGCGGTTACATAAAACTTAGTTAACAAAGCTAATTTCAAAATGCTACTAGTTTTGTGAGTCCCCGTAACTGAACCAAAATCAAATAATGTGCTTCAGTTAGGACGACTTGTACAAACTAGTTAAACAGCATAAACTAAGCTATTGCAACCAAATTTATTAGTTTTTGCAACTAAAATTAACTAACCTAGATTTATTAGTTGGAAATATTAGGTCTTTTTTAAGAATGCATGTATATGTACCGTATGTCTATGAATAATATACTATACGGAGTGTTCCCACAATTGTATATTATAAAATTGTGCTTGCAAAAATATTTAATTAAGTGGAAATCCAAATTCAATGGTACCTTTTTGGATTAATTTTTCTTTATGTGCTATTTTAAGTAAGTAATGTTAGGTAATAATATATATAATATATGTATATATATATCCGATCCGCATCTGGCAGCTTCGACAAATTTCTGGCCATGAACTTAAATGTCCTCATTAACTGATCGATTCAGTTAAACAAGTTGAAATATCTTAAAAAAGCTTTGTCTAACGCTTGAAATACTTCAGTAACAGCGAATACCCGCCAGATATATAACCTCTATTAGGATATTACGTAATTAAAGTTTTACTACCATTTTAGGACCATTTCGTTACCCTCTTGGAGAATGTATACAATAAACTAAAAGTGGAGGAATCCGCAAATGATTCACATTGCGATAAACGCAACAGACCAAATGTGATTAATAGCATTTGCTTGTTGGGTTCGGCAGCCTGTAGAAATGATACTCTTACTCTCCTGAGACGCTGGAGAAGCACAGGCACTAATTTGTTGCCAGTAACAGCGGAACAGCAAATTCTTTGCGGTGCATTGAGAAACGGCTTTGAAGATGACTGGAACTTTGTTTACAATCAATTTCTTAGTTCTCAAGATAGTACCAGAAGAACAAGATACATTGCCGCTTTAGCTTGCAGTGAAAACCCTGATTTGATTACCAGGTATAGATCCACTCCTTTGATTTAAATATAATTACTAACTTGTTACCCAATTTGTTATAGATTTTTAAATCAGGCTTTAAATGACGGTTCGCCATTAGCAGTATATCGTGCACGTATATTAACGGACGTTTATTCATCTGGGAATGTTGGACTCCGTACCCTTCTGGATTATATTAAAAGCAATCTAACACAAATTGCAGAGGCGTAAGTATCAAGAAATACAGAATTTTCAGGAGAACTTATATCACAACCATCGACTATTTAATAGAAAGAATTTTATCAAGAAAAATTAAAAAGGCTCTTTTTCTTTTACATAAATGAAGCAGAGAAAATTTTAAGTTAATGTATCAAAGTGCTTCATGTCCATATTTTTAATATAGCAAAAAAAAAGGCTTCACAGATTTTCTTGGACAGAAATTCTTGAGTTATACTTAATAATTTTTTTAATTCATTTGTGTACAACGTTTCGTCCTTATTTTAAAACTTTTTGTTTGTTGACATTTAATGATTAAATTATTGAACACTTGAAAGTCTGAAATAATGATAAAAATAATTCTTTTTAATGAATTTTTGTGTATTGAGGAAATAAACGAGATAGGTTGGTAGGACACCTATTCAGTTATGAAGGTATTAGAGACATATTGGAAACAGAAACAGGTGTTCAAAAGAGTAGAAGTAGACCTATATGAGATTACTATTAACAAACAGTTAAAGATGTGCGATGTTGTTGTTATAGGAAAATATGAAAATTGATTCAGGATAGGAAAGAGTGGAAGTACGTGATCAACCAGTCCTAATACTGACGATTGATGATGTTGTATCATGCAATAATAAAACTCAATTCAAATTATGTAGTGACATTAAATTTAATTCAAAATCGAAATGTATGAGAAGCAATAGGAGAGACGTTCAATTATTATTGTATTATGAACTTGAATAATTAATATAAATTTTAAATTTATTTATGTATGTAGAATTTAATTTTGTCGGTGAATTTAATTATTTTAATTTGTAATATGAATTTAACTTTGCCAATAACCGACTAGCTGTTTTTTCTAATATTTATTTTGTTTTATAAGAGCAACGTTTCGACTACTGTAAGTCATCCTCAGGCTTAGGTTATAAAATATGCCATTTTTTTGTTTACATTTCGTTGGTTTAATTCGACGTAGAACCAGTTAATATTTACTCAATAGAATAAATCACATCTTTGGTTAATTTGGCTTCATGACATCAATAAATTAATTAGCAATTTTGAATAACACAAATAATTAAAAACAAAAAGAACGAACACTTAGCAATAATATCACCCGTCACGTGATTGCACATGTGTTATAATTCTAAAGAACCTCTTCGTATCAATTCGAATGATACGAAGAGGTTCTATAACTATGAAAATGCATCGGTTACTGAAGTCCTTCAATGGGAATGATCATACAACGTCGACTGCGATTCATTCAAATGGCGCTCCTACGTTGTACTGCTACATTCGTCCAGGACTTCTTGTCGTCGGTTTCTTACTAGCGGCGCAAGTAGGGCATCTGCTACATCGGTCTTCCACGTTGCTTCTACTTCGTGGTAAGTAAAATCGCTCTCGTACCTTCCCTATCGTCTTCGTAACACCGAAATGTCCTTTGCCATGGACAACTTCTAAGGCCTCTGATATTCCTTTCTTTGGAAGTACCATTAGGAGTTTGTTTCTGGTTTCATCTCGACTTACCCACATTCTTTTTTAAACGACGTATCACACGTGATCCAATCGGTTCTTAAGAGAAACTTCCGTCCATGCAACGATGATGTTGATTGCTCCTGTGTCAATAACCTTTCTAACATTGTGCTGATTTATTGAGCCTTCTATAAATAATAAATTAGCATCGTCCAATCTACAAATGATGAATACTTTCACATCTTCTTTCATTTCTTCTTGAGCTGCTTCCAATTCCTCTTGTCTTATTTTCGTATCATCTTGCACTGATTCCACGGTCATTCGTGATTCGTAAAAACTTCCAGAAAATTCGATGAAATTCGTCGATGCCATCGATTCGTTCTTCTATCTTCCAAAGCTTTCCAACGATATATGGTTTATTGGGGTAAGTCACAGTCAGCAGAAACTTCTAAAAGCTTAGATGGAAATCTTCGATAACGTTAGATTCGTCCTTTTCTTCTCAAGAGCTTTCCAACGATATGTGACTTATTAGAGTTTCTCGCAACCAATGAAGACTTCCAAAAAATTCTATGAAACTCTTCTATGACGTTAGATTCATTCTTCTCTGTTCGAGAACCTTCCAACAATATACCACTTGCTGGGATTTCTTGAAACCGATGGAAACTTCCAGAAAATTGACCGATGAACTCTGGAATATTTGATGGGATTTTTCACAAACCCTCGTTCTTCTCCAATCTTCTTCAGTCTTCTTCTACTCCACATCAGACATCAAATCTCACATGTTAAAACTATCAACATTACTATTACTTTTATTTAACAACTTACTCTATAAATAACACTTCTACTATTAATTAGTTGACAATTCAATACTATATAACATTCAATCATCACTTCTTCGCTCTTTTTCCTCTTTCTGTCGCATAGAACTCTCTGACTCTTACTAACTCCACTCGATCTCGCGACAACTATTTATAAAGACTAACCGTTCTAGAATGTTCTATATGCCTTCTAGAAATTTGGTCTTCTTTGACAATATGTATGTTGGGTTGCCTAAATACATACATGTCACAATGAATACTTGGTGTCAGAATAGTGTGTGCTCTACCTGCTAGCTACTAGTATAGCGTGTGTAGTTATTGACTTGCTAACACTGTAGCATGTAGTTTACTGCTGAAAAAAAAGGAATTTGTAAAGAAAATGCAGAAAGCCAGTGCTATAGAATCTTTATGTACAGAGAGGACTCGTGAGTTGGAATAAATTTATTTAATATTCAGGGCGGAAGAACTATTAGAGGAAGATCCATTTGGGATTAGAAGAAATAGAGGAACGCGGGAGGCCGTTCTAGCTTTACGAGTAACAATAGAGAAAACGACAGAAAAAAAGAGGGCGTACATAAGATTTGTAGATTTAGAAAAAACTTTTGACAATGTTAAATGGGACAAGATGTTAAATATACTTAAAAATGTAGGGATGAGTTACAAAGATAGAAGAGTGATACTTAGTTTCTGTAAAGAGCGACAGGCAGTTATAGATATATAGGGGCTGCAACGTAGAGAAGTAAATATTAGGAAGGAAGTCAGACAGGGATGCACACTGTCACCGCTACTTTTTAATCTATACATCGAAGATGCGAACAACTTCATTAAAGACAGTACAACTGAAGGAATAGATATACAGCAAGGAGGACCTAAGTCCTATCTCTAAAGATAGCTATATATAAAATGGAAGCGGTATTGACAAAAGAATACCGTATAAAAATTAATAAAAGTAAAACAAAAATACTGGTATGTAAAGGAAGAAAAAGTAGGGAAAGAGCGAATTTAAAGATAGGAGACGAAAAGTTAGTAGAAGTGACCGATTTTATGTGTCAAGGAAGTCAGGACGGAAGGAGTAGTAGGGATACAAAGCAGAGGATAGCGCAGGGTCGAGTCGCCTTTAATAAAAAGAAGTGCACTTCTGTGCTCGCGAACGGTTAATTTAGAAATTCGAAAAAGGTTGTTAAAGATGTATGTTTGGTGCACGGCATTGTACGGGTGCGAAACATGGATAATGGGCTCGACGGAAAGGAAAAGGTTAGAAGCGTTCGAAATGTGGTGTTACAGGCGAATGATGAAGATACCGTGGATAGAAAAGGTTAGAAATGAAGAATTATTAGAAAAAGAAAGAGAACAGAGGACTCTATGGAAGTCAATGGGAAATAGGTGAGATAGGTTAGTAGGACACTTTTTCAGGCATGAAGGTCTAGTCAGAAACATATTAGAGGCAGAAACGTAAGTTAGGAGGGGTAGAGGCAGATCTAGATTAGATTACTGTTCGCAAATAGTTAAGGATATGGGTTGTTCTAGCTTTAGGGAAATGCGAAGATTAGCGCAGGAGAGGAAAGAGTGGAGATACGTGTCCAACCAGTCTTAGGACTGACGACCTTATGATGATTCAGGGGTTTTTTTCTTGAAAAAAAACGTTCAAACGCTCGAAATCTTCTTTTTTGATTATGGGTTTTTTCATGGTAAATCCACCGACTTAATTTTTTCAAATGAAAGCACCTATTTTTTATTACATTTTTGAATTTTGCACCGAATTTTAGCTATGTTTCATGTACTTACACTAGCTTCAAAATTACATAATATCTAAACTAACTGCGCTTTACCTCAATGCTAAGAAAGAAATAGTAGGAGATAGCAATATTTTCGCAAATAGATGAGCGTTCCTTCCGGCTTTAATTACTGTTAATAAGATAATTAAATATAATATGTACCCCGTATATAGATTTACAGTTTGCATTAGGATTAATTCAATTGAATATTTTTGAATTATTTTGTTTATTCAGGGAAGTGGAAAAATTAACATAGTTCAAAATGATATACACTAACGTTAAATTGAAATTAACTTTCTGTCTTAAACATATTACCCCAAATTAATGGGAAAATATTGTTCCTGCTGTTACAAGTGCGAAAAACCAGAGGGCCCGAAATCGATTCCCGGCGAGGCTGTGAGCAGCAACAATTTTTCCCCATTATCTTAAGGTATAGTAATATGTAGAGGATTTAATGTTGAATATTAGAATATTAACCTCTTTAAGAATATTTTTGTAAATAGATATGTAATTCCCAAAAGTTTGATGCAAATCACATCTTCAACTTTAATAGAATTTTTCAGTAACTGTTCGTTCATTAAGTTTGCTCCGCTGAACAGTAAGAACACGGTCCATACTGTAGCTTTCAAGATGAATTAAAAAATAAAATATACATCCTTTGGTGTCCTGTATCATACACGATAAAAAAACTCAATATAGTGCAATATTAGACTCAATAAACTATAATATTGGATCTTACAGACTAATTTTTGGTTCAAGGTTATATTACTCACATCTGAAATATTCTTTTCTATATAAAAATTCATTATTTAGAAAACGTAAAAGTGTTTGATTGTATTAGAAAAAGTGAACTCATCGTTTTAGATGCTTTCTATTGAAATTGAATTTCTGTCATATCTATACAAAGTTTTTTTATATCATCACTTTGAAAGGTTAATAGTTTGTATTCTACTTTATAGGGAGTCTCAGTAAAAAGAAATAACCTTTTTTCTTGATTTTTTTCTTAATATTTTTAAATCGTTTTTATTGCTGTGGTTACAATTATATAGCTATTTTCAACTGCTTTTTCCGGAGAACGCCACAATTTTTATTATAATTTAATGTTTATCGTTAACACCATACATACAAAATATTACTTTTTTACTTTTAGGCGTATTTCTGTAAGTGCTCTTCTTGCTGCAGTGGCTAATTATCTTAATACTGAGGAGCAAATTAAGGAGGTAACAAAATATTATACACCCTATATTTCGTTTAGAAAAGAAAAAATAATAAGAATAATAATAATAAACTAGTAAATAATAGTTTATTATGTAGTAGTTAAGTAGTGCATTATAAACAAATGCTGTAGGACGAAAAGTATGGTGAATCGTCTCGGCAGGGGATAGTAGCTCTAATGAGACATGTTGATCCTGTAATCGAAAAAAACAAACAAAAATCAGATTTTTTTTCTCCAAAACAACTTAACATACATGAATAAAGTTAGAATGCATCATAATAATATGTCATAACTGTATTCAGAAAATATTGTTAGAAGCAGGCGATTTTTTTTTAAATTGTGTGTTTTCTTTGTGATAACACTAGAACAATTTTAAAAATAATAATAACCTTTTTTTATGTAGAACAACCTCCGAAATTCTTAAACTGGTCTAAATGGTTTCTCATATTAAAAAAAAATAATAATAATAGAAGCCGACTTTTTGTCATAAAAATTGATTTAATTAAATGTTTATCCCATTGAAGCAGCAGAAGCAAAACATACTTCATTACTTTATAAATACCAATACAATTAAATTTTGGGATTAAAAAATAGACCATCATTACTAAAATTTTCGTATTTATCATTACGGAGCTTGTTTACGACACAAAGTTTATAAAAAAGCTGTGTAATACATATAAATTATTTTTATAAAATTATAAGGCGTTAAAATTTGTCAAAATCGTGATTTTTTACTTACGATTAGTTTGAAATAAATTTGTGAATATTTATATAATCTCGATAATAAACATTTAAGTTGTCATTTTTTCTAGTACAGCCTTTACATATGTCTATAATGCACAAAAATTTTATATAAATCGGTTTAGTGGTTTCTGAGAAAAAAATATTTTTATATTTTTTTTTCTCGATTGATTCGTCAAAATCGATAGAGGTCTAAAACTTGCAGGATCAATATATCTTATTACCGTTAGTCCACTCTACAATGACATTTCAGTTATCTCTTTGAGGCCGATTCACGATTCTTATAGGCCTTAGCCTGCTTTTTTTATACAGATTGTTCCACCTAAGGCGGTTTCGTGGTTGACTGTTATATATTTAATAAAAAAATGTTTTTATGAAAGTGGTCCGGAATTATATGGTGCATTTACAGAAAATATGTTCAGTCATACAGGATGTTCCATTTATTCTGGACGCTACCTAACCTCGTTATTTTAAACCCTTTATGTCTGTAAATATTTGGTTTTTCTGTTTTATTTTAGGTCAACAGCTCTTTATACCTATCTCTACTAATTTTTGAGATATTCAACTGTTTTTGAAAAACAAAAAAACGTTTATTTCAGCTCTCAATAAGATCAAATAGCATCTAAACCATAAAAGCTAAAAACCTGCCGTTTGGACTTTTTGTTTTAACGCAAATTACCGCCTTTCTTCTGCTATGGGTAAAATATGTACGTTATGCAGAGCCGGAAGTATCGAAACCTACTTTTGACAATCTTACAAGACCAATAAGATTTTTTTTTGTAATTGAATTACCTACATTAAAATATACCGTTCGATGCATTTCTACTGATATAAAGTTTCAAATATAAAATGATCGGTTTCTTCGAGAATACTGTTAGAGATAAATCTTTAAAACAGTATCTCAGTGCAGGAGGTTTTTATTTTGGCATTGAACGGTGTCTTTTAATATGGGTCATTTCATTTGAACAAAAAAGTTATTTATCTTTAAGATTGTACAAGTAGGTTCAATATTTCCGACTCTAAATAACCGACACATTTTGTCCATAGTAAAAAGGATACGGGATACGGTAATTCATGCTAAAACGAATTGTCGAAACCGCAGGTTTTTAGCTTCTATGGTTTTAATGCTATATGATCTCATTCTAAAAGCTGAAATTTTTTTATACAGTTGAATATTTCAAAAACGAGTGGAGATAGGCATAGGAAACTGTCACTAGACCTAAAATTAAACAAAGAAACCAAAAATGTAAAAATATGTAGGGCTTAAAATAACGAAGTTAGGTAGCGTCCAGAGTAAATAGAACACCCTGTATGACAGAAAATATTTTCCGTTTATACACTATATGATTCCGGCCTACTTTTATAAAAGCATTTTTTTTATTAAATGTATAACAACAGTTATTAATGACACCGGTCTAGGTGGAACACTCAATTATTTTTTTTCTAATTATTAATTACATCTTTTTAGTTACAAGACTTAAAAACTGCGTATCCTGCCTATGGAACAGCAATAGATAATGCAATTTCTCGGGTTGAAAGTAATGTAAGGACCGCTAACCTCTACCTACCAGCAATTGAATCATTCTACATAGGAAGTGATTCTAGCTCCGCACTAATTACTAGCGGAAGACCACAGGCATTTATATGCATTGCAATTTCTTTTATTTTAGCAATGCTTGCCTTGTGAAATGTGTACTATAAATAAATTAATGTAACCTTCTTGTAGTACCTTAAATGTGAATAAAAATTTTTCAAAAAAGATTCCAAACATTTGGAATTCCTGAAATTAAAATAATGTTGATGGTTGAAGTTGAGTAATAATAAGAAAAGATTATAATTATAGNCCCTAGGTAAGGCTAAATACTATCTTTTGTTTGTTGATGATTTTAGCCGATTGTGCACAGTTTACTTTCTCAAATCCAAGAGTGAAACATTTGCATATTTTAAACAATATAAAGAGCTTGTTGAAAATCAGCAGTCAAAGAAAATTAAGATATTGAGATCTGACAATGGTGGAGAATTTTGTTCTACTGAAATTACCAATTTTCTAAGAAAGTGTGGCATAATTCATCAAAAAACGAATAGTTACACACCAGAACAAAATGGATTGTGCGAACGATATAACAGATCCGTTGTTGAGAAAGCACGTTGTCTCCTTTATGATGCCAAGTTTGATAAATGCCTTTGGGCAGAAGCTGTGAACACAGCTGTGTATATAAAAAATAGAACACCAGCGGCAGGCTTACAGGACAATAAAACTCCTTATGAAATATGGACGGGCAGAAAGCCAGAGTTGAATCACCTACGTATCTTTGGCAGTCCAGCTATGGTTCATATTCCGAAGGAAAAGCGAAAAAAATGGGACAAAAAGGCGAAGAAGATGTACCTAGTTGGATACTCTGAGAATATCAAGGGCTATCGCTTGTATAATCCTATTTCGTGGGATGTTATTGTAGCCAGGGATGTAGTTTTGATGGAAAACTCAGATAACAGTTTAACTACATCTATTGTGATCGAAGATAATAAACAACTGGAAAGGCCGACAGAGGCAGAGAGTGATCAGGATGAAAAGAATCACAGTGATCCAGAAGAAGAGAATCAGAATGATAAGACATATGTACCTGAGAGTTCAGTCAGTGACTCGGAAGAAAGTTTTGTCGATTCTATGCCTACACCTCCAGAAGCAGAGGATATTGTCTCAAAGAATAGTGATTTGAATCTACCAGAAAAACGTGTAAGGCGGAAACCAGATTATTACCAGTATGCCAACATGTGTGTGGATATGTCAGATGAACAGATTTCTTTGAGTGAGGCAATGACTGGATCCGAAAAAGACCAGTGGGAAAATGCAATGAAGCAAGAATTGAAATCGTTTCAAGATTGTGATTCCTGGGAGATAGTAGATAGGCCAAGTGGAGGTACGGTTGTAAAAAATAAGTGGGTGTTCAAAAAGAAATATAACATTGAAGGTGAAGTGCGTTATAGGGCCAGACTTGTTGCTAAGGGCTTTACCCAGAAAAAGGGTATTGACTATAATGAAACTTTTTCACCAGTGTTAAAGTATTCAACATTTAGATTACTGTTAGCTTTAAGTATTGAAGTGGGTCTAAAAATTAATCACTTAGATGTACCTACTGCATTTCTAAATGGTTTACTCCATGAAACAGTTTATATGGAAATACCAGAATATTTAGATATTAAAAATTGTAAAAATAAAGTTTTAAAGTTAAAGAAGGCCATATATGGTTGAAGATTGTTTGTTAAAGTTAAATTTTAAAAGATCTAATTTTGAACCTTGTCTCTTCATAAAGAATGAACATAATGCAAAGATTTATATAGCATTGTTTGTTGACGATTTTTTTGTTTTTTATAATTGTCAGAATGTTTATAAGGACTTAATTATTGAATTAGTAACAAAATTTAAAATTAAGGATTTAGGTCAGATAAAACAATGTTTGGGAATGCATGTAAATGTTTACAAGGATTGTATTACCATTGATCAGAAGCATTTTATAGAGAGTATTTTGAAGAAATATAATATGACAGATTGTTCTGATTCAAATACACCAATGGAAATTAATTTAAAATTGTCAAAGAATGTAAACAGTAAAGTTATACAAAAATATCCATATCAACAATTAATTGGAAGCTTAATGTATTTATCTGTGCTTACCAGGCCAGACATTTCATATAGTGTAAGTTTTTTGAGTCAGTATAATAATTGTTTTGATAAAATTCATTGGACTCATTTGAAACGTTTGTTAAAATATCTAAAGAAACCAATGAGGTATGGATTAGTTTATAGAAAGACTGGATGTGATCTTTCTGGTTTTGTTGATGCTGACTGGGCATCTTGTACATTGGATAGACGTTCATACACTGGTTATTTTTTTATATTGTCAGGGTCAGTAATTTCATATGAATCTAAAAAACAGAAAACTGTGGCACTTTCTAGTACTGAAGCAGAATACATGGCCCTCTCTGAGTCATGTAAAGAGGCTATATATCTCAGAAATATATTAAATGAACTAACTGTATCAAATGAAAGCCTCCCATTGTGTTTATATAGTGATAATCAGAGTTCTATTAAATTAGCAACCAATCCATTGTTTAACAGTAAGCGTACAAAACATATAGATACCAGACATCATTTTGTTAGAGAGTGTGTATCATTAAATAAAGTGAAAATTGAATATGTGTCAACTTCAGATATGCCAGCTGACATATTTACAAAGAGTTTGAGTGCAAGTAAACATTATAAGTTTATAGCATCGATTGGCATGTCTGAACTTGAAATATCTTAAAGTTAGTTTTGATTCGGTAGTTTAGATTATTTTGTTAGGTAGGGATGTTGTTTATACTTACTTTAATGTAACAAAATAAAATAACTAGCGCCACCTGTGCCATACAATGTGAACCTATGTGAACGAACGATTGTTGTATTATCTGTACAATAAAGAAAAGACTATAAGTTGTTTCAAAGCTAGCACTGCGTTCTATCAGACCTTGCAGTCATTTATGACTAGCGGTTTTATCGTTGGACACATTTCTACATCTATGTTGAATTGACACTATTTCAGCATCCAATGAAGAATGAGGCTTGTGTTAGACTGATTTATTGAAATATTTACATCCTATTTATACAAAATCTATTTACATTATTCTTATGGGAATAGGTAGTTTAGCAGTAGTTTTTTAATTGTTACACTTTTGAATTGTTATATTGATACACAGAGTGTTCTCACAGGACTCCTCTTTCAGTGATGAACGATGTGGATTGACCCGTTCGAATGTAACTGGGATGGCGTACTCGACGACCAGACCGAGTTGTCGTGTGTGCTGGTTAGTCGTCCATCTTCTTTTCTGTAGGAGTAACTTGGAGCTGCTGTTTATTTGTCACGATATACGTTGGTTTAAGTTTCTGGATAGATACGGTTTTGCTTCGGTTGGGAAGTAGGATAATGCATGAATGTTCGCCCCTTTTGAGCACTTTGTATGGACCATGGTATGAAAACTGTAATTGAATTTTTGAACCATCTCGTCAAATCGTTACATACGGCCGATTGTAAATTTTTAAGGATGCATGTTTTCTGTTCACCATGCCTAGTGCCAGCTACAGGTCGTAGAAGTTGGAACTGCTCACGAAGCTGTTATACGTATGACTGGATGGTGGTGTGAGACCGTCGGGTATCCGGTGCTAGAAATACGCCTGGTAGACGAAGTGGCTTTCCATTTAATATTTTGGAGACTGTTGTCTTTAGATTTCCTTTCCAGACCGTACGAAAGTCTAGCAGAACAGTCCAGCTGCTGCTCTAATGACAAGTTATGACGGCTTTTAATTAGCGGTGCAATCGCTCAACCATACCATTTGATGAGGGGTGATAGGCAGGTGCGTGGATAAGTTTTGAGTTTGTTAAATGCGACAGCTCTTTGAAAAGTTGGGACTCAAATTGTCTATTTTAGTTCGTGGTGATTCTTAAGGGTGGCCCAAAACGGCAAATCCATCCTTCGTAGAATGTTCGTGCTACTGTTGGGGCTTCTTGATCTGACATGGGAAAAGTTTCAGGCCAACGTGTGAATCTGTTTCCATCTAAGGGTGGCATTGCAACTATGTCAATGTGGACGTGGTCTGTAGGGATTGGTTTGAGTTAATATATTTCTGAAGTTCCCTATTGGATTTCCCAGAAATATGGTGAATATTCATTGAGAACTGGCTAATGAATTTGAAATGCGGTGACTGTCTGGGGAAGAATTTGTCAGGGTTCTAACAGAAATCAAAAGAAAGGGGCTTGTGATCTATAAAAATCAAAAAGTCGCTGCTTCGAGAACATGACGGAAATGCTTGATTATGTGATAAAAGTTGATTGGAGGAAAAAATGCTAGGGGCTCCCTAGTTTCATTGTGGAATTGTTGTAACGCAGCGCCTGAGTGATGATCGGAAGCAGCACAAAAAATTGCTAAAGTAGCATCTGTTTGCGGATAGTGCAGAAGAGTAGTCTACGTCAGTTGCTTCTTCCTTAAATTGAATGCCTCGGCGGCTGTGGGGTTCCATTGAAATGTTATATTTCCTTTTATATTCCCCAGTAGAAGTTCATTTGAAGCCGAATGAGTGCAAGCAGCGTTGGACAGGATCTTTCCTTAAAAGTTGAGCAACTCAAGGCGGTGTAATACTTCATCGGTAAAGCGTTGGAATGTTTGAATCGCGTTGCGTAATCCAAAATTCATATACGGAAATTCGAACAAACAAAAAAATATTGTAATTGCCGTTTCCAGAATATTTTCTCCTGCAACTGGAATCTGGTTACCGGTTAACTAGATCGATCGTAGAGAAACTTGTTTTGCTTGTCATTGCATGCGTGAAATGTTGCTTACAAGATATCTGCCCGGGACTATTCTTGCGTTGAGAGCTCGGCGCATGGGCGCCATTCAACGTCCTTCTTTGGAACTTATGTATTGACGATGCCCAAGGACTGGACGAGGAAATTGAGATACCTAGCCGTACCAATGTATCAAATTCTCTCTTAGCTGCAGTTTAACGGTCCGGAGCTAAACGTCATGGTTTAGGTGCTACCGGTGGGCTGGGGGTAGCACTGATGTAATGCCTTGTTGAATGTTTGGAAAATGTGATCTGACCGGTGTGTCGAATTAACGAGGGGAAATGCTGAAGTACATCGTGGTATATGGAAGTAGTCGGTTTCGTATCTGTGACGAAAGTGATAGAGGGCTGGCTACAGTTGGTTACTTGACCAGAGGTAGTGAGG